ATAATAAAAATGACTAAGTTAAAAACTCTAAAAGGCTGGCCAAGTAAAGTCAGCTTCGACTAAGAGAAAATTAAGGGCCATATTGATTAATGAAGATAGTGAAAGTACCTTCTGTTAGATAGTTGTTCATTCATGTCTGACTCTTTGTGATCCCACTTGGAGTTTTCTTGGCAAAGATACTAGATAGGTTTGCCATTTTCTTTCCAGCTCATTTTACAGATGAGGAAACTGAGGCCAAAAGGAATAAGTGACTTGTCCACAGTCACACAGCTAGTAAGTGTCTGTTTTGAACTCAAGAAGATGAGTCTTCCTGATTCCAGGCCTGGGGCTCTGTCCACTATGCCATGCAGCTGCCCTTTCTTTTAGGTAGGCTGAGATATTAAAAAACTACATTAAGAGTTTAGGTATGTGGAGAAGCAATAGGCTGAGATATTAAAAAACTACATTAAGAGTTTAGGTATGTGGAGAAGCAATGTGGTAGAGTGAAACAGTGGAGTTTTGAAGTTTGGAGTCAGAGGACTTAAGGTCAAGTCTTTGTCTCTGTCACTTCTTATGTGACACTAGGCAAGGCGCTTAACCTCTACAGCTTTAGTTTCCTCTTTTCTAAAATGAGAGGGGTTTGACTAGATGACCTTTGAGTTCACTTGTAGATCTAAGTCTATGAAATATGTTGAACAGAAATCATGGTTGATCAATGGAATGATAGAGACTGAAGGCAGCAAGTTACTGGGTCCAAAATGTCATCAGAGAGCACAAATTTAAGGCCTGGTTGCCCCTCATTACCTTTGTGACCTTGGCCAATCATTTAATCTCTTTAAACCTCAGTTTCCTCATCTGTAAAATGAGACGGATGGTCTAATTGATCTCTAAGGCTCCTTCAGGTAGAAATCTCTGCGAGAAGTGTTACAATTACTTCAAAGAGAAAACTTTTAAAACTTTACTTAAAATTTTTGGAAAAGGAAGGCTAGATAATTAACTTGGTATGACAGAAGGAGTCCAGGACTTTGGAAGTCATGAGGTCTAGGTGTGAGTCCCAGGTCTGCCACTAATTTGTCATTTCACCTCAGGCAAATCTGCAGCTTAGGTTTCAGTTTTCTGTGTCTAAAATAAGGGTGTTGGACCAGAAGACCTCTAAGATTCCTTCCAACTTTTACATTCTAACTCTTAAGCTTCGCAAAGAAGCTCAGTTTTAGCCTGGGGGGATACGCTCTCATAGAAAGACATTGGGTCCAATTCCAACTCCACCACTTAACTGGAGGTGTGTGACCTTGGGCAAATTTCTGCCTTTATATGACCTTTGGTTGGTGATAGAGAAAAATCCCTCACCTTGATAACCTCACAGCATTATAATAAAACCTAAATGAGACAACCTTCTAGAATAAAATCTCAACTTCTCAGCCTGGCATTTAAAGCCCTCTACAATCTGGCACTCACTTTCCTTTCCAGATTTATTCCATATTACTCCTCTGAATATTTGCTAGCGAAACTAGGCTACTAGGTATCCCCCAAACTCAACATTCCAGTTCCCATTTCCATGGGCTGTCTTTTATACATAGAATGGGCTCCTTCCATAGCCTCTGCCTCTTCGAATCCAGAACTTTCTGTAAGCGTAGCTCACTCATGCCCTTCTAGAAGCCTCTTCGTGCTCCCCACTCTCACCTCACATCCACTTTTTAGTCCTTTCCCCCTTCTCATACCACCTTATATTTACCTGTGTACATGACCCTTGAGAGGCAGTGAGGTGTAGTGGATAGAGAGCTGGTCTTAGAGCCAGGAAAGCCTGGGTTCGAGTCCCAGCCCTGACACAGACTGGTCTTCTAGGCAACTTTCCTAGACTGTAAATTGTAGAAAAGGTGCCTACTTGGATTGACAAAGGAAGTTCCCTATGCTAATGAAATTAAAAGTCCAGTCCTGTATGTTGCATCCTTCTATTAGCATAGGCCTTGAAGGCAGTGTCTACTTCATATGTGGCTTTGTATCACCAGTGCCTGGCACAGTGCTGTGAACATAGTGGCCCTTCACAAATAGTTGCTGAATTGAATAATAAGATCTAGTATTTCTATAGCACTTTACAAATATTATCTCACTGGCTCCTCACAACCATGGATGGAGCGGGGAGGTGCTATTATTAGCTCCATTTTAGAGATGAAGAAACTGAGGCTAAGTGGACTTCCTTAGGGTCATGCAGCTAGTCAGTGTGTGAGGCCAGATTTGAACTCTGGTTTTCCTTAACTCCACGCCCAGTGGTGCAGCTGCCTTCGAGGCTTTTTTTTTTTTTTTAAAGTCCTATGCAAATGAAAGGCACTATTCTAGTCTGAGCTTTACAGGCTATGTGGTAATGGGCAAATCCTTTGGTAGCTCTGAGCAAGTTTCCACATCTGTAAAATGGGGAGAACATTATGTACCATTGCAGTTCTCAGGAAGACTGAGTGATTTAAGATAGGAAAAAGGAGTTGGCGACCCAAACAGGATAAATAAGATTTCAGCAGAAAAAGGTGAGCACCATCAACATAGGGAAAACAGGAGTAAGAGAAGAAGGGTGGGAGAGCTCAAGGTTAGTAATGGGCGTGGTAAATAGTTCAGTCTGGCTGACAGGGAGTATAGAAAGAGATAAGGCTGGAAAGGTAGGGTGGTGCCAGATTCGCCATGCCAGACTTTTTTTTGTTGTTCAGTCTTTTCATTATCCTATTTGGGATTTTCTTGGCAAAGATACTGGAGTTGTTTGCCATTTCCTTCTCCAGCTCATTTTACAGATGAAGAAACTGAGGCCAACAGGAATAAGTGGCTTGCCCATGGTCATACAGCTGGCAAGTGTCTGAGGCCAGATTTGAATTCAGGGAGATGAGTCTTCCTGAATCCATGCCTGGCACTGCATTGGGCCACCTAGATGCCCATGCCAGACTTAAAGGGTCTAAACTTTCTTGGGTAGGCAGTGGGTGGTGGTGGTAGTAGAGGGACAATCGAAGCATGGCTTCTTTGAGCAGAACAGGGTTATGACCTACACTTGCAAAGGAGTGGAGATTAGAGTTTAGAGGACAAGTGTTCAAATCTTTATTCTCCTACTTACTACCTCTGGAGCAAAGCACTTTGCAAGCTTTGGATCTCCATGGATGTTAGCTGTTATTCTGTTGTGGTGGCAATTCTTTAACTATCTGAGCCTCAGTGCGTTCATCTGTACAAGGAGGTGACTGAACTTCTAATTTCCCTTCCAGCTCTAAACCCTAGGATGGGGATGGGGAAGATGATGGTGATTAACTGCATAGCTAATTCACTTCTTTACATCGTGCTGACTTTGCTAGTAAAAGATTTTCATTTGGTTTCAGTGAAATTCCCAGAACTCCAGCCTATAATCAGTGTTATTTTCAGTGTATAGTGTATAGCTTAGTGAATAGCAGAATAGTCTGCTCCTGAAAAGAGGGTGCACCCTTAAAACTTATTTTATAATGAAAAAAATCTAGGTACACAATGAAAAAAAAACCCAACTGTGTGCTACATTTGGGTTTTGCATATGCCAGAATTGAGATATCTAAACCAATCTTATATCTAACACAATATTATACATACACATGTGTGTGTATGTGTATATATGAATACACACATGTATACATACATATACATCTACATACATCTATCTATCTATGCAGCTAGTTGGCACAGTGGATAGAGTGCTGGGCCTGGAGTCAGGAAGACCTGAATTTAAATTTGGTCTCTGACACTTATTAACTGTATGACCCTGGGCAAGTCACTTAACCCTGTTTGCCTCAGTTTCCTCATCTATTAAATGAGTTTAAGAAGGAAATGGCAAACCATTCAATATCCTTGCCAAGAAAATCCCGTATGGGGTCATGAAGAATTGGATATGACTGAAAAACAACATAAATATATATGTGTATGTGTATGTATATATGTGTATACACACACACACAGACACACACACATATGTATATTTCCTTCTTAAGAAGATATTTTAGGGTACATCCAATTTTAAAAACTATTTGGACCTGTGATTCTCCTCGTGTGGAAAACCCCTCCATCAATGCTCATGGGCAACTTTTAGGGCCATAGAATCAAAGGTTTACCAGAGAGAACCTCTGAGATCATGTAGTATACTCCTCCCCCAACCCCTTCATTTTACAGATGAGAACACAGTCCAAAAGAAGTTAAGTGCATTTCCCAAGTACTCAGTACTAATTAAGTAAAAGAGCTTGGATTTGATTCTAGGTCCTCTGCCTCTAAATCTAGCACCATTTCCATGGATGACCTTTCCAACGGTCTCACAGATATAGGAGGTATCAGAGCGACCACTGTGCCATGCTGCCTACTTGTTAATTGGTTAACTATCTTTTCTACTTGTGGCCTTCTTTTTCTATCTTGATGTAGCCAGAAAATCTCTAAACTTGGAGTCATTTGACCTGGGGGTTCTGACATAATTTCTTTGAGCTATAGTTTCCTCATCCGGCAAATGCGGGGAGAACAAGAGTGATTCAAGGCTGTTGTGAGAAAAGCACCTTGTCTTCTAAACCTGATCTCCAGGGGTATACTGGAACCAGCTCAAACTGGCTTGTGAGAGCATTTATGCCATGCAAATTGGCAAACAGTGCAAATCAGGGCTGGATTTGTGGTTTAGTTGACTGTTTTCTAGACTTAAGAAAGCAATGGAGGAAATGTTAATAGTGCAGATTAAAATTAAAAATGTGTTGGGCCTACAATCCCACCTCCCACCCCCAAGCCGGATGTTGAACCAGCACATCCCTGCTCATAGCAAGCACTATAAAAATGTAAGCTATTATCATCTTCATGGACTATTAATGAAAACAAATGAGACATTATCTGGAAAGTGCTTAGCATAGTGTCTAGCAAATAGTAGGAGCTTGATAAATGCTTATTCCCTCCCCCAATTTTCCTTCCTTATTACGTTCCCATCATCTTTCTAATAAAGCTCCCCTGGGAACTGGGGGACTAGAGAAAGGCTAAGACTAGGCTTGCAAAAGGAATGCCACCTTCATCCGCTTGGATTCACTACGAGACTTGTAGCAAAACTCGATTAAGGCAACCAGCATGGCCAGTCCGAGGCCTCCGATCAGGATGTAGAACACCCCGGCCACATTGCTGAGGCTCAGAGCACTTGTTTTATCCTAAGAGAAGAAAGGAGGAAGGAACCAGGGAGAGAAAAAAACAAAAGTGAACCAAAGGGCTATTGAAAAACCTTGTAACATACATATATATATATATATATATAGATACAGATATAGATATACACACGCAGGCACTTCACCCCCACCTCCCCTCTACCCCCACCCTCCTTTAACACACACCATGGTTCTAAAGCATCTTTTATGTTGGAACATTAATGATCTCCTGCATATGTACATGAGGGACTCCTTCTGGTTAGATTCAAGGTTTGGATTTGTCCCTAGGCCCCAAATGTCTATTTTCAATTATGGATGGAAATGCCTTCCCCCATCTCAGCGGCAATGGACTTCAGCCATTGCTGGTCCCTCCCCCCAGCTCTTCTTTGGGAATGCTGTTCCCTTTCCTCCCAGATTGGATCCCCCACACCGTCTGTTGCTCAGCAACACATCGGTCCGGCTCTACGTTGGTTTCTCTCAGTATTAGCCTGAGAACTGGTCCTTGGAATCAACTTTCCCCAGATACTGTTTGATCTCAATTTTTTTCTAAGACAGGGATTGTTCATGAAATAGAGACCAATTGATGTATGCATACATTTCAACTTAGCTTTTGGTGGCTCAGTTTTCAAAAAGGGCTTTAAGTAGCAAAATAGCATTGAAACAGAGAAATTGTTCTATTAAATCCTATTAATTAGGTTTAATTGGAGTCATTTTTGTGTTTACTATGCTGGTTGAAAAGCTTGAAGGAGGCAGACCCAAGTGCTGGGATTTTGAGATCTGTATTGTAAGGGACTAAAGATAGTCTTCAGGAATCAGTCTGTAGGGCCAGGGGGCAAATGTTGTCCAGCCCAATCTCTTGCCTCTGGACACAGCACTGGGTAAAAATTCAGCAGGTATGGTTGGTTCCCATAGGTCTGGGATCATTCCTGCATTATGGTGTTTAAAGGTGTCCTTGCTAAACCACAAGGGAGGTGCTGCAGAGGACTGGCTTGAGATATACACAGCATAGGGTCAGGCCTTATTGGAAACACTCAAAAAGAGGAGCCATGATGGGACAGGCCAAATCAATGAAAACAATTTGGTCCATCAGAGTGACAGATAACTCAAATTTTGACCAAAAATATCCCCCACCCTTAAAGATTAACCTATTGTAATTAGCTTAACAACAAAACCAACAAAATAACCCTGATTATATTTTTCCCCCAGGGATGACCTTGGACATAATCTGTCTCTGAGAAGCCAAGGAAATTGCACACATCACTTGCACAAACACATCCCTAGATTTGTTAGTGTGTGGGCACTGGGTTTCTGGGTTGGTTGGGCATTAAGAAACAAAAGAAAACAAACTCAAATCAAAACATTTCTTGTGTTATTTGGTGGGTTGTATTTATATATATACACACATATATATTATGGATTCAGCCATGAATCTTACTTCCCTTTGTATTCCCCCTGACACCTACAAGTTAGGTCCCCATTATGCAGAAGTGATAGATTTAGTCAGCTAATGACTTCTGCCTTTGTGGGACTGGGTGCGTTGTCCTGAGTTCAGCAGGGTTCAGCATTATGACTGCTAACAGCCAAAAATGGCTCCCCAGAATTTACACTTTCCTAGTCAAATGGAAGGATTTAACTCCACAGCTCGCTTTGGTACCAAGTGTATACCCCTGAGTGACTTTCTTGTAATTGCTAAATTAGGTGGGGCTGAACATCTGTTATGCATGGCAAGCTAGTGTCTGGCTTAAAAACCCCCCCAACACATTAATGATTAATCAAAGGGCAGCATTTCTTCTGCTCTAGTATAATTGTGTTTCCCTCACTGGGCAAAGGAAGTATGTCAAAATGAGTCCTGGGCCAGCCACCTATATTGTGTAATTGGAAAGATACAAGTGCAGTAGAAAGCATGAGGTATTGGGAATCAGATGATGTGGGTTCCAAATGGCTCTACCGCTCTGCCAGTGTAACCTTGAGCAAGTCATTTAATCTTTCCAGGACTCAGTTTCCTCATCTGTAAAATGAAGGGATTGAAACAGATAACCTCTGAGGTACCTTTTGATCCTTTGTCTATGATTCTATAATACATCTCCCGCATTGTGTATATTCGTGCCTGATATTCCACCATTAGAAATTCATTCCTTCAGATCTTAAAGTCTTAGCTCTTTCATCATCCTCTGTTAAAATTGGTATTATTTTGAGCAACCAAAGAGGTAGTCTGTTCACACAGAGGTTGGATGGACGCATATTGGGTATATTGTGGAGCAGATTCACAGATCATGAAGGGAGCTAGGCAGAATGAAGCTTCAGGTCCTTTCCAACTCTTGGGATGCACTGAATATCTCAAGCCCTTATTGGCTAACACCTCACTGGGGATTAGTTGAAAGCAACTGCAAACGAGCAAGGGCTTATGGGAGGAGGATACAAAGTAGGCACCAAAGCAGGGAGTAGGTGCCAGGGAGCAGGAGAGGCACCTGGAAAAGGGTGCCAAAGACAACTTTTGCCAGCTCCACAATTATGCTGAGTCTGGCTGAGATTAAGACAGTGAGAGTAGAAGTTGGACTGTTTAGTTTATTTTGTCATTCAAAGTTGCCACGTCTCCATGTGGTCTTTTCCCAGTATTGGAGTAATGGCACTGGTGGTGGGTGGAAGGGTTGTGGGCACAGCCATTTTTGTAAGGTTTTTAAAGAATGAAGTCCTTGACTTTCTATGACCGTTACCTAGGCTCTGGAATTCTGGGAGGACGGTAGGTAGCAGGTGTGCCAGATGCATGAGATCCAGGGCTACTTTCCTTCATGCTGATGACATTAGTCTCATAAGAAAATCTCATACCAAGTTGATCTTCCCCTTTGAAGTTTCCCTTTGTGGCTCCATCCTTCCCAACTGGGTCAGAGGGGGGAATCTTGTTTGCATTCCAGACAGTGGAGGTTCATGCTTGGCTAGATTGGGATCTCTTAAAGATTAGAGACTTGTTATCTTCAATTTCTCTATCATCTTCCCCACTGATCCTGTGGGAAGTTGCTACACATAGCTCAATTAATATCCCTTACTGGTCTACTTAAGTGAGGTGCGCACAGATGGAGGGGAGGAGGCCATGTCCTCCACACCTTGAAGAATCAGAGCAGCCATATCCCACATATCTGGAAATGAAAATATGGCCACCAGCAACACAGGAGAATACAATGAAGATCATATTTTATACATCTGGAGAAGGCAACAGGGCCATTTCCTCCTGCAATTATCAGTGAGTGTATACTTGTGTCTATATGATGGGAAAGAGTCATGCCTGGAGGACCACATCCTCGAGAGCTGGATATTGCAGGAGTAATAGGGTTACATAGTGAGAGATGACAACAGGGTTGTATCCTCACAACTGAAGGCAGGAGGGGCCTTCCACTTGGAGATGGCAGCTATATTACCTCCTGCACATATCTCTTCTTAGGGAACAATGGGGCTGTATCCCCTGCAGCTGGAGAAGTCAGTCTGTGTATAGAGGAGAGGGCATTACACATCTAAGGAGAGGATCTTATGTACCACAGCTAGAAAAGTCAAATGGACACCACGAAGGTCCATCCAAATGCTCCAGTGTAGCTTTGGAAAGCACAGCGACACTGTTCCTCACTCTTGGCACCAGAGATCCCATTCCTAACCTCCCAGGTAGACCTAGGGCAATAAGAACCAGAATAAGCTACAGGGCAGGTCAACTAGGCATGCAAAGGACATCCTTGTCCTGCTGCCATCTACGTCAGTATGACTGAATGAGCATTGTTCCATTCCTGGAGGCTGACTGCATATCTCTTGTAGGAGGATGTTGTGTGTGGAAAAAGAAAAACCAGACACACTCACTTTTGGCCATCTACATCTAGAAAACATGAGTGTCTGGGGATTAGCCACACTGGATTCTGAGGAATTATAATTTTCCTCTCTTTAGTTATTTATTTTTAGGTAGAAATGAGATTATAGCCTTATATGGTATGTGTCTTATTCATCTGTGGACCCTTGACCCTCGCATGTTAGGAACATGGACGTGACCTCTGAAATTTAGCCTTCTTCCAAGAAGCGATAGGTGTTAGCCACTTCACTATCTGTCTAGGCTGAATGTGGTGGTCTTCTCCAGTGGTGCTAGACGTGGTCCCTGCTGCCTCTTCTAGCTGTGTGAGATGTGAACCCCATCACTGCCTCCTTTTGCTGTAAGTCTGCTTTCGTATACCCTGTGTTGGAACAGAAGTAAATACTTAAAAGTCACTCTTTTTCTTTTCTAGAGTTGTAGCTTCTATCTCTGTCTCTCTTTTCCTGCCCTACCCTACCACACACATATGTGTGGGGGCACACGCATGTGCTGGGGTATACATCTCATATAGCTAACTTCCAGCTAAGCTTTGAAACCGCTGTTACGTTCTTTTAACAGCCTTTTGGTTACGTCTTGGAGAAGAGGTTGTGGTGGTTTTGAGCTCTTCTTTCTGGGACCCCCTTTGTTTAGTCATCCCTAGCTTAGGAGAACTATACAAGCCCATAGGCCTGTCCCCCCCTCCCCCAAGCCAAGCAGCTTGTTAGTGGGCGTGAAAATGTCACAACTTGTCTCCTGCTGGGGGAAGAGAGGGATAGCATGGAGAAGAGTGACAGGTGAAAAGAAACATAAACCCAGTCTTTCAGAACCCTTGGGTTAGTTGCCATAGTGATGAGCCCCCTCCCCTTCCATCTGTTCTTTTTTAACCCCTTGTATGCTCTTCTTGCCTTAGTTTGCTGCCTCCTTCGTAAGCTCTGGAGGGTTCTAGAGGACTAAGACAGGAATCAGCGGGATAATATGGCTGCCAAAAAGGCAGTAATGCTCTTGGATTGCACTCACAGCACCAGAGTGGTTCAGAATAAGTGAGGGAGAGTCACGGTGCACTTGGTTCTGATCAGAAAAAATCCGGAGTCCTATCTCTAGGTCTGGAATCCACATTTTGGGAAGGACCTTGACAAGATGGAAGAGGTCCAGAGAAAAGTCATGAGGATGATGAAGACTTGAAACCATGTCACATTAGTAGCTATTGAAGAAACCAGAGGTGTTAACATCTGGAGAAGAGAAGAGTGGGTGGGAGAAAGGGTATGCAGATATAGCTGTCTTGAAGTATTTGAAGGGTTGTCATATAAAGGAGGAATCAGATGCATTTTGCTTGGCCCTGGAGGGCAGAACCGATGGGGAGAATATGGAGGAGGCAGATTTCAGTTCAACAGAAGAAAAACTTCTCCAGCAAGTATAGTTGTTCATAAGTAAAACATGCTGTCTTCGGAAGTAGTGAGTTCTCTAGCACCAGAGATCTTCAAGCAAAGGTTTGGTGTCTGCTTGTTGGGAATGTTGTAGAGGTGATTTCTGTTCAATTGGGGTTCGACTTCTCTAAGATTCCTTCCAAAATGAGACTATAAACTCCTCAAGGGTAAGGGTTGTGTGCCTCCTATAGGTCTTACTGAGCACATATAGCTGGTATCCAGCAACTACTTCTTCAGCTGAATTGAGATTTGATCCATCTTCTCCCGGAGCCATCCATGAAAGTAAGCCCCTGGGTTAGGTCTGTATATTCTTCCTTCCTCTTGTTTGTTTTTGCTTGTTTTCCAAAGGAAGTGTTATTGGGGTAGATGTCAATAGGAAAAAAGAAGTGTCTGGTTCATTCACGCAGCAGATAGTCAGGAACTATATGTGGGTAGGTGGTTCTTCTGCCTGAAAACACAGAAACTCAGTGAAAGTATTAAAAGGTGGAAAATGAGTGGCATGCTTGTGCCAAATACAAAAGATAGGCTCCATTTTTTCTGGTGATTGTGAAACAGATACTCAAAGAGGGCTAATGAACTGAAGGTACCCACGATGGCCCTGAACTGGACAACTGCCAATGAAGGTTAAGTACTACAGCAATGGAGAGGACACTGGGCTTGGAGTCAGAGGACCTGGATTAGAATCCTGGATTTGCTACTTACTAGTCCCTTCTTCTGTAAATGAGAAGGTTGGACTAAGTAATTTCTAAGATTCTTTTAAGCTCTAAGTCTTATGATTCCTTAAGTGGTGCAGGTTGGGTAGTGCTTCAAGCCACAGTAGGGGATGGCCCAGATCCAAGGACAAGTGAATAGCCATGAATGAAACAGGAGAATCCATTGTCAGAGCAGAGAATGCTAGAACTAGAGGTGGGGTTCAGGTCCAATTCCAGTTCTGCTAAGCCAGAGGGTACCCCAGGCATAGGACCTAGCAGGAAGCAACTCAATAAAAAAAATAGTGGAAGAAATGATGATAAGGAAGGAGCCAGGCATATGAGGAGGAAGCAGGTTGGGAACATTCATGAAGATCAGACAGGGAGGCCAGGATTAGATCAAGAGTCCAATTCATTATTCAGGGTGTCAAAGCTAGAATTAGGAAGAGTAAGAATCAGGATAAGGTCCAAAGCTGAGTTCCAGGTGCCACTTAATGGGAGTCAGACCAGTTCAGAGTCACTCAAAGACAGAGTGGGACAAGGCAGTCTTTTAATTACTTTGTGCATGTTAGATTGACTTCCCCCTTCTTTGAAGTCTAGGGTGGCCACACCCCACTGGAATGGGTGGTCAGGATTTAAAGGGAGCTATGTAAGGTGCAACATTATTCTTTGCATTCTGGAGTCACTGGCTTCCCTCTGTCCTCTTCCTGAAGCATACACGCACTCAAGTTTTGCGCCGCCTTGGCAAAATCACCAAAGCTCCCTGAGACTCAATTTCCTATCTGTAGATGATCCTGGTGTCTCTTGCAATTCTAAACCTTAGGATCCTCTAAGGATTCCTTTGTGACCTAGTGGTGAAGGTAGCTCAGCCTTTGGCAATGTGGAGAGTCCTTATTTTTCTCATTCATTCTGAATAGCTCTCAGCTCCTTTATATATACTTCCAGACAAGGGGTTCATAGGAGGCAGAGGTTCATGTCTTTGATTTATTCTTTATAGAATCTACCCCTCTAACGTCACCCAATAAAAATTAGCCAATGCTAATTGTCCACTTAATGCTGTTCCATTTCAAATCTAGGCCAATTCCCTAGCCTACAGATTTTCCCCAAAGAGCCAGCTCCACAGGATGAGAATTGGCCCATTGTACTAATAATTGGTCCATGTAGCCAATGAGAAGAGAGGACTGTGGGGGCGGCTGTTCTCAGCTGTGTGTACTGAGACCTGCTGCTGTTGTACAAGGCACCTCAGAACATTTTGCCTGAATATAACGGTAGGGGCAGGAAAGCTAAGGATTGACATTTGGGTCAGGGGAGAAACACCCAAGGACCAGAAGGAGACATCAGCATACAGTTGGAAAGCAGATAGTCTTTTCTGGGATGGGGTAGTGTGTGTGTGTGTGTGTGTGTGTGTGTGTGTGTGTGTGTGTGTGTGTAATTTTCTTGCCTGGATGGAGGCAAAGCTAATAATCCCAGGGGTGGCTTCTTCTGTGTGAGGAATGTCTGTCCAGAACATGTACTAGGACAGCTAGGGGCTTGGGTTTGTGGAAAGTAGGCTGGACCAGGCCAGGCTGGTAGCCTCCAGGAGCTTCCTCCTGGTTTTGATTAAGTCTCTTCCTCTCAGCTCCCAATATTTTGGATGATCATAGGGGTCCCTGGGAGATTCAGGAATGGTACAGGGAATTTATTTTTCCTCTTGGGAGCTTCAAGATGGACAAATAGGGGGTTTAAAATGTGCGTCCAAGGGAGATTCAGAAACAAACAAACCAGGGAATTTTAAAGGAGACCCTTCTGATGTTAGTGTTAAGGGCATGTGCTCAGTGTCTCATGGGGACAGCTGCATGTATCTTGAAGCACATGCCAGTCCCAGGAGATTAACCCTTGGTCCCCACTGAGTCCATGCATATGAAATCAGTCAATGGCTAACTCTATAAAATTAAATGAGGAACAGTTGGTGTTTGGGCCTAAAGATTTGGTCTGCAAAAAGTTTTCTTTCCCTGTTCACTTCCCTCTGGGCTCCAGGTAGTTGACTAGGGACTTTTGGGAGCATGGGTGCATGCTGGGTTTGGCCAACTGTCCTAAGGTACCTGGGACACTGCTTTAATTTCCAGGTTCAGACCCAAAAGAATTGCCCTTCATTTACAAGGGAACTCGCATGCATTGGAAAGAACCATGCAGTGCAAGGACAAAAGAGTTGGCAATTTATGGTCCCTGTATATGTTCTGCTAGGGAAGGAGATTCAGATAGAGGCATGAGCCCACACAAAGGGGCTAAGTAGAAAAATTACCGATCTGTCATCTAGAGACTCAAATTTGACTCCTGGTTCTGCTAATAGCTAACCAAGCATCTTTGGGCACATCATTTGATCTCTTTAGAACTTAGTTTCCTTATCCATAAAATGGTAGGAAGAGGAACTTTGAAATTCTATGATCTATGTTCTAAATTTCCTACTATCTCTAGCATTGACTGTTTTTGTTCTATTGTTCCTTTGAGCTTGAACACTGCCTGTGTTCAAGGGGTCCCTTCCAATGGTAAGATTCTATGTTTTATGGTCTTTTCCAGCTCTGACATTGTCTAGGTTCTAAGGCCAGTTTGATTCCAATATTCTATTATAGCCTAAGAACCTTTTGAGTTAGTTCTGACATTCTATGATGCTTTAAAATCTCTGACATTCTAAGTTCCTTTCTAGCTCTGACATTTTTTCTCAGGTCCCTCCTAATTCTGATGTTCTGTTCTAGGTTGTAAGCTGTCTTCAAGATTTGCTATTCTAGGTTCTATGTTCAAAGATCACTTACTTCTAACTCTAATTAACACTCTATGACTCAATTGTAAAAGCAACGCACCCTGTGCATTTTAAAAAATCATCATAGACTTTACTTGGATCGTTTTCCTATCTGGGGAGAGGAGACTTTGGATTTACAAACTGGACGATAAAGACAGGCCTTGAACTGGAAAATGAGCTAGCATCTTCATCATAGGATTAACCCAGGGAATGGACACTTGCTTGAGACAGGCTTTCCCTGTCACAGCTTTGGGAGGGATGATTACATACTGCAAAAAGGATCTTCCCAGGGATTTCCCATGGGGGCCAACACTTCTTGTAAGTAAAGAGTAATTGCATGGGGAGACCACCTTGCAGACTGCTATTTGCTGAGTCCCCAAGAAGACCGGTTTCCCTCATTTCCCAGAAACTCAACCTTTTGTGGTGTGGTAAGGACTAGACACACCACTGGCCTGGTCAAGACCTACTCCCTTTGTAGCACAGGTGTGCAAGGCCTCTCCCCACCTGGGCCTCCTGGACCTCAAACCACTACCCAAACCCACCACACGAGGGCCTCCAACCCCCGGGCCCTGGCTTTGATTCAATACTGTGCATTTTTGTATGGGTACGCGTGACCCCTTTGGGGGCGACTGACCTTACTTCCGTAGTCCTTGCTGCCACACTCCCCTTTATCGTACCACCATTTGCTTTTCAGCTTGTCTAAGACGCCTTGCTCACTGAGTTTCAAAACCGCTAGGTTTACGGGACCTCTTCAACCAGGGGGCGACATAACATAAATAACATTAGCAATGTTATTTTATGTTATTCAGCACAGACAGTTTCATTCACATCATTCATTGAACAAGAGCATATACACGGACAAAGTGATATCATAGAATACTCCATCTGGCCCCACCCCGCCATAATGCTGCCCCACCCCACACACTCACACACCTCTTCCTCCAGCACAGCAAGAGGAGTATTGCTATATCACTTTGAGTAACCAGCAACCTCCACCACCCGCTGCAGGTACTTGCCAGTGGCCCAGAGGTGGTGGGGGTCAATGGACCTTCCCTGCTCTCAGGCCATCCAGCTGCTGACCGGGCCAGGATGCAGAGTATCTTAGCTGCCCTACCAGTGGGCCTCTATCAGTTTCTCCAGGTAGGTGGGTGAGTGGGTAGGGAAAGGAAGGAGGAAAACTGCCTTCAAGAAGCCCCAGGACAGCCTGTTCACATTTCCTTCCCATCCATTCTTGGCAGAAGAAAGTCACCAGCTGGTTCCAGTGATAGGCAGAAGCAAGAAAGTCACCAGCTGGTTCCAGCGATAGGCAGAAGCATGAAGGCTTCCTTGTATCCCTACTCTGAGATGACTGCTTGCAGAGGTGGTTTGGGTATCCAGAAGCCTCAATTTGGGGAGGGAGGCTGGCCAGCCTCTTCTAAGAGAGCTGGGCTGGCGGGAGGCTGATGCTGATACTGGCAACTGCTAGACAGTTGAAAAGATTTTTTTTTTCTTTTTGAGATGGGGAGGGAAAATATTTAAATATAAGCGCAAGGGGGTGTTGGAAAAATGGTTGCTGGTTACTAGCCATGCTATTAATACCCGCTCGTTTTTTTTTCTTACTGGGGCTGACCTTGGAATCACCTCCCCCGCTGCCGCACTCGCCCTTGTCGTACCACCATTTGTTTTTCAATTTGTCCAAAAGCCCCTGCTCGTTCAGTTTTAACACTGCCAGGTTTACTGGATTTCTTTAAAAACGAATAGATAACACTCGATGAGTAACAGGCGGAGAACACTCAGAAAGCTGTGTGACATAAGGGATCGGTGAAGCAGCTCCCTATGACCCAGCCTGCCAGGAAGGGGCCCTCTCAGGGCTCTGAGGTAGGGAGCCGGAGCCTCCATCATTCCAGGTAAGGGGGGGTGGTACGAGAGGTGGACTACAACCCTTAGTCTCCAAAACAGGAAGGGTACTTTTGTAGGGCTTTGATGTGGGCTCCTAAGGTCTTCTATGTTCCAGGCACTGCAGGGCCCAAGGGTGAGCTCTGTCTTGTTGTCTAAAAAGGGGGATGGGTATACCACATGAGGGCTTAGAAATACTGAGTCTTTTAAAAAAGTCCACTCACATTAATATTATGATGAAGAAGAAGATGATGATTATAATTACTATTACTACTACTGTCAAGCAGAAATAATATGGCCCAGAGAAAGGGAAACAACAACATTTAGGGATAGTCTTTATGGCAAAAAGAGTTATTAACTTGGCAGTTGGAGGGGTGGGAGAGGGAATCTGGCTCACCCATTCCTCTGAGTGTTACTCACGTCACAAGAGACATATAAAAACAACATGATTGGCAATCTCTTCTTAATTAAGTCACAAAAAGAAACATTCAATCAAATTTCAGGAGAACCTAACATGTTGAGGAGGATGGAGGCAAATTAAGTTTAAAACACTTCATACATTTTAGGACATACGGAAACAGATTCAGTTTATCAGAAGGCAATGGTTGTGCGATTTTTTTCCAGTGACTTTCGGCATCATCAGGTCAACAGATTGCATCCACTTACACGGCTGCTATTAAAATGAAGCTATATGCATTTCCACTTCAATCACCCACACACTCCAGTGGCCTTGGGAGGATCTGATCATGAGATCTTGGCCACATCCTCAGGTTCCAAGGAAGAGGAGTCATTTCATGCCCAGGACACCACAAACAATTAACATGCCCATTGCCAACCATGAGAGGGCCAAAGTAGTGGTCTTCAGATTCAACAGCCTCAACCTCACTGCTTCCCCCATGGGTTTCACTGCATTTGGAGTCAGAGCTGGGGTTCAACTATCTGTATGTTTGTTTGTTAAACTATCTGTGTGACCTTGGGTAAGTCCCTTAAGCACTCTGGGTTACAGTTTCTTCACCTGTGAAAAAAAATGGAGGGGGTTGGTTGGATGAGATCATACTTAAAAGTCCCTTCTAGCTCTAAATTCTGATTCTTTGAGGGCAGGGACCATTGATTTTTAAAGTCATATATCCTAGTTTCCCTCTCAGTACCTACTATTTCAGAGCATCTTGCCTTTTCACTTTTTTAGTGGTATTTATAAGATACCTCCCTAGTGAAATATATATAACCTGTGTCTATTAGGTAGTATTCATGCACGGAGGGAAGGGCTGGTTTGATTATGGCCTGGAAGGATTCTGTCAGTTTGTAAAGTCTACCTCCACGTGGTATGCTGCAAAAAGCACTAGGCTGAGAGAGCTGAGTCCGAGTTCCAGCTCTGACATTAATACCATAGATTAGTTATGTTGGGCAAGTTACTTTTCCTCAGTGCCTCAGTTTCCCTATCCATGAGATGGGGTTTGAGGAGCAGATGTCTGCCATGATTAGTGAAATCCCTTTCTGCTCTAAAGTTCTATGATTTGAACACACTGCTCCACTCCCCCATCTAAGCCTCTGGACTAAGATTTAGCAGTCTCTTAGAGAAATTTGGCCCTGTGCCAAGTATCCATTTATTCATTCCTTCACAAGTCCCCTATTAAAATGAAAATACCACTGGGAACAGGACTAATATCTGAAGATTTTATCATGCAACAACTTTACTTGTAGTTAATATCTTAGTAAAGAATAGCTAAAACCAACAGAGACAAATGTAATAGGAAAGAGATAAAATTTAATAGCGATAAAATTTTGGGTTCCAAAAATTAATTATAGAAGTGCAGCATGGGAGAGACTGGCTAAATGACAGGTCATGGGAAATGGACCTGGGGGCCAGGGAATAGTTACAATATGTCTGGCAGCCAAAAAAGTGAATGACATCATAGGCTGCTTTAACAGAAACCTTTGGTCTAGAAGGAAGGAAGTGTCACAGGCAAAGCCTTCAGAAGAAAGAGACAGATCTGAAAAGTAAACAGCTAGCTAAGAAAGTGATGTTAAAGATGGGATCTGGATTCTTGGACTATGGCTTAAAATATAAGAATGATCAATTCTTGGATGGTTATGGAGTACATCTAATAAGGGCTGGAAAAAATGTACATAGTCTTTCATGTCCAATCAAAAGAGCTTTACAATGAAACAGGATGAAGGAGAAAACTGTCTGTATGCATCCACAAAATAGGTAATGTAGAGAATAAGTACCATACTGAAAGAATAAAAGCAATAGGGATATATAGAAGTTTATAGGCTCCAAGAAGAAATGCAGCAGTGAAACCTATGGCTGCATGAGTCCATATACAAATGTACCAAGTATAGATAATAAATAGCGTATACTAGAGCTCTTCATGGGCAGCTGGGTGGATAGAACACATATCACTGGACTCAAAGGACAGAGCACCAGGCCTGGAGTCAGGAAGTTCAAATCTGACTTACTACCTGTGTGACCCTGGGTAAGTCTCTTAACCCCATTTGCCTAAGTTTCTCATCTGTTAAATGAGCTGCAGAAGGAAATAGTAAACCACTCCACTATCTTGCCAAGAAAATCCTAAATGAGGTCAGGAAGAGTCAGATATGACTGAAATATGACTCAACAAAGAGATCTTAATTCAAGGAAGCAGGCTTGCCCACATAAATATCTGAAGCTTGACAGGATGGGGCCCATGGCAGAAATATGGCTCAAAATGAAGAGGATAGGTAAAAGGGGGGCAGGTATAGTACTTATATACTTATGTACAGAAATCTAAGAAACCAGACCAGGGAAGTATAATGTAGAATAAGTGTGTGAAATCAACAGAGGCAGAAAAAAAGAAGCAAGATTATTATCAGGCTATGCCACAACCCACCTAGAATGAAAGAAGAAATAAATAAGTAATTATATCACAAGTTCAGCATAGAATCAATCTAGTGATTGGAGACTTCATTTTTCTGGACATTTCCTGGGATTCTGCCAAAAATAGAGCATAATCATTTCTTGGCTTGCCTTGATGATAATTTTATCCTTCATAGAGAGGAATCAATGAAGAGACTTGGTCTCTTGACCCAGATTTTGATCAACAAGACTGAACTGGATGCGGAAGTAAAAATGATTAGAATCTTCGGAGGAAGTGACCACCATGCTGTAGAATTTTTGATAAAGATGGAAAGGAAAGCCAGGCATAATCTTCAGATGCACCCTCGATTTCTAGAGAATAGTTTTTAAAGGGATCACAGAAAGGATAGGTTAGATCCCATGGCCTAAAACTCCATAGGAGAAGTTTGTACAGGAGGGATAGGAAGATTCTCAAGAACGAAATTCTAAAGATACAAATGCAAACAATTCCAATTCCAAGGAAACAGGTTGTCATCCAAAGGAACTGATGTAGATGCACAGTGAACTTGTCATCCAACTTAAGAGTTAAAAGAAGTGTACAAAAGGTGGAAGCAAGCACAGGTAATTGAGGGTGAGCCAGAAAATGAGGTGTTGTCCTATAAGAAGAGGGTCAGGAGTGGTAAAGTTCAGGATGAGCTGAGGATGCTGAGAAAAGCAAAGAATCAGACCTGTGACTGTACTGGTATTGAGAATTCTCAGTGAGGAAACTCCTTCTACAAATGCAGCTCAGTGTCTGGTCGGCAATGCATTTCAGAAAGCTTCCACGAGTAACGAGGCATTAATTTACTTTCCAGGGTCCCACAGCCAGTGTGCGTTAGAAAAGGGAACTGAACTCAGGTTCTTTCTGATGCCGAGACCAGTTCTCTATCCATCACACCATACTGCCTCTGAAAGTCACATCAGGGCAATAAGGAGATTCAAAGGCGGGGATAGGACTGCTGTTCACTATGAATGGAGGGACAATAATGGAAGACGGAGAGAAGTGGAGCTGTTTAACTCTTATTTTGCTTTCAGAGAATGATTTTTTGACCAGAAAGAATTGAACAAAACTGGCTAGCAGGGATCTGATACAGAATGTAAGTAGAGCAATAGTAAAAGAGCCCTCTGCTGAGTTTCACTGACCAGACTGATAAACTATTTTCTAAGGTACGTGAAAAACTGGTAGATGTGACTCCTGAGCCAAACTCTTGGATCTTGGAAAGACAATCTACAATAGGAAAAGTACTAGAGATTTGGAGAAGCTGTGGATCCTCATTCTTCCTTCACCTCCTCCCTCCCCAAAGGAAGAAAGTGAGGCTTGTATATAAACTCTAGGCTAGCGTGCTCTAGAACGGATAGTTGGTAAACGTCTAGGAAAGCAAGCAGCGATCCAAAGCAGACAGTATGGCTTTAAAGACAGGTCATATATGAGACCAATCTCAGTTCCTTTTTTTGGATATGGTTACGAGAGAGATAGGGGTAGATCTGCAGAATGTTGTAGATAATTTGCCCATTATTTTAGCAAAACATTTAACAAAGTCTGTCATGATAGTTTTGTTATTGTTTATCCTTTGTTCTTGAAGAGGACCAATGCCATCAGGAGGGTAACGTCTTGACCTGCAAGTGAATTGGATTTAAGTGAGGCAGGGCTATGCAAAGTCATCAGCCTCACTCTCTCCTGCGGAGTCACTGAAGTCTAGTGGCAAGACGTAGGTCAGGACGAATGGTGATGGCCCAGCCATGATAGCCTAATACAATAAGCAGAGAGATGGTGTTAGGGATCTGTAAAGAGTTAGGGATCTGTGCTTGGCAATTTGCTAGTAGCACTTTTTATTAATTACTTGGATGAGATAGGGCCCTTTGGTGATGTGGATATAGTGCTGAGCATGGAATCAGAAAGAGCTGAGTTCAAATCACACCTTTGACATTTATCCTCTGTATGACCATGGGTAAATCACTCAACTTTTCTCAACCAGAGAACACTGTTCTCCTAGCCTTAGTTTCGTCATCTATAAAACAGGAAGGATACCAGTAATACCTAACTTCTAAGGCTGTAGTGAGGCTCAAATAAGATAATATATTTCAAGTGCTTTGCAAATTTGAAAGTGCTAATTGTCAGATATTATTATCTTTTGC